CTACAAAACCCCATGCTCTCATACCGTGATTATTGAATTTGAATTATTTTTAATCCTGAATCATCCCCTGCTGCAAAACTTCTAACTTGCCTCATGTATGATTTCCAATGTAAATGATTGAGTAAGGAAAATAGAGAAAATCTTGTTCTCGCCCCTACATGTTGCAGAGGGGTCATGAAACGGTCCATCTAACTTCAGCACCAGAAAATGTGTCACCAAGGGCAGAGGAGCAGGTTCTGCTGCAGTGACAGCTCGGGATTTGTTGTGAGCTGTGCATTGCAGAGCAGGAAAACTGGCGTTTCTGCACAAGGACGTGCTGCCCGCATGTCTGGTTGCTGTCCCTAATGATTTTCAGTGTCAGATTTTCATCTGCATTGGGTATTGTCCTGGGTTTCCACAGACATTTGCATGGAATGTGGGTTGATGCTTGTCTTTGTGGCATCTGTGTTGCAGTCTGTTATGTTCTGCAAAGCGAATGTGTGTCCCTGCAAGTCTTGGACTCTGAGATGCGGTATTGTCTATTACTGAATAAAAAAGCAGAAGAAAATATGACTGTTCACATCAACAATTAATGGAATTACCAGCACTTCCTTATTACTAGAGTAATAGCTGTAGATTTACCAAGGGTGGGTACATTTTTCATCAATGGAAAGCCATTCACTATTAAAAAAATGTGCTGCACCCTCTTGTTACATAGATTGCATGAAACAGATCCAGTCGTTTAAGAAAAATGGAGCAGTACATTAAACTTCAATGACTAATGAGGTATTTCTTACAATGGAAGAGTTTACACATCGAGACCACAAGAAAAAGTGGGATCTCCACCTGTAGAAATCGCAGATCAGGCAAGTTACAGGGCTTAGTCAAGGCTAGGTAGAAGAGGTTGTGAGGAATATCTGTGCTGTCTGCCTTTCACTCTTCAGCCTGTCTAAGTATGGCTGTATAAAATGTGTATTGATAGACAACAGGAGAATGCACTTAAGAATATTTTCTTAAGCAGTGAGAGTTCCTAATTTAGGCACCTAATATTACTTGGTGCAAAAGCTGTGTCTTGTGTTAATGCAGATGAACGACTAAATTGTCCTTTTCAACCTTAATAAGACTATCACTTAAGAAGTGCCATGCTGTGGCAGAAGTGAGGCCCTTAGATGAAGCCTCTTTAGGAAATACAGAGTCTGAATGAATAAAAGGAGTTAATTCTGCTTACAGTTTGGGGACATCTGCATTGGGAAAGAGGAAAATATGTTCTTGAAATTGAAATGGCAACTCTGTATTAGCTCGCTGGGATTAAAATAGCAACAAAGTCAGTTGGATCTATAATTTGAATGGATACATAGGAAAAAAATCTTCATTCAGAGCCAATTTACTTCATCTTTATAAAACGTACAGGTTTTAGAAGTTGGTCATGCAGCGCTGGGACAGAGCCAGGTGCTCAGTGGGGAGAATGAGCTGCTGGTGGACCCCCTGGGGCTTGGGGCAGTACAGAGGGACTAAACCCGAGCGGCTTTTTTTGGTAGGCTGGTAGAACAGCAGAACAAAATTTTTGGTTACAAGACCGAAATGACGTGATATGGAGGTTGTCTCTGCAGAAGGGCAGGGTCATCCCATGTCGCACCAGCAAAGCAGGCTGCTGCAGGACGCAGAAGGAGCGTGGCAGTCACGGTGTGTGCCGGTACCGAGCCAGGCCCTCACGACAGCCGTGAGCCTGTGGTTTTAGATAGGAAGCGAAAGCATTAGCCTGGCCTCTTCCAGCTCGTGCGAGAGTCCTTAATGTACCCTTCATAAACTGCTGCATCGTCATACTTGACGTAGCTGCCACGTTTTATCCCCAGACTGCTGCATTTCAGTGCAAGATTAAATGGAAGGCATTAAAAAGTAACTTATGTTGTTCGAGCCATTCATCGCTGGGAAAAGGAATATGGTAAGGAATCACCTTTACAGGTATCTGTGGTAACGGTGCAGCACGCTGGCCAGATGTGTATGCTCAGGTACCGTTTCTTTTGCACCTGAAGTACTTAAGAACGCAGGAGTGCATAATCCCCACCTTGCTCCACATCAGGCGTGTGTCCAATGAAACTAGTAGGTGCCAGGCGGTAAAAGGTCATTGCCCAGTGATATTAAAAGAGTGTAAATGGGAGAAGAACAGGATCTACATCTCTGGAAGAACAAGGGAGTATTTAAGTGAGGAAGATTTGCTGGATAAGTTCCTAAAATTTTCCCTAAGATAGACATGGGAGAGTCCAGAAGCTGGCTAATATTTTATAAATTTCTTATGCAAACATTTTTTTGAAGATAGCGACATGATTAGACTTGTAAACTCCTTAAAAGGTAGGTTTCTTTGTGACCATGGCGCTCCTCAGAACTAAAGTAGTGATGTTTTATTTTCCTGTCGGTAGCTCTTGGATATTTCTGTTCAATGGACCATCCAGGACGACTCTCCCCCCAAGTATCCCCATTACGACCCAGGGACATCTCGTCAGCTGCTGTGTGACCAGTGCCCTCCTGGGAGCTATGTCAAGCAGCACTGCACAGCCACCAGCCCGACGCGGTGTGCCCCGTGCCCGGATCAGTACTACGCCGAGGAGTGGAACAGCCACGAGGAGTGCCAGTACTGCAGCGCCGTTTGCAAAGAGCTGCAGTACGTCGCGCAGGAGTGCACCCCCACGCAGAACCGCGTCTGCCAGTGCGTCGCAGGCCGGTACCTGGAGCTGGAGTTTTGTTTAAAGCACACGGAGTGTCCTCCCGGATTCGGCGTCGCACAGCCAGGTACGTACCGCTTGTCAGTGCGCACGGGCTCCATCAGAGCTCTGCCCGCACGTCGATGGCTCGTGGCAGTTACACGGTTAGGAAAGAGGCTCGTCCAGATGAAAGTACAGGACAGTAAATTGCAAAGCCAATCGAACCTGTTCCTAGTCTGCATCATTTGGACTGTAGCCAAAGGAACATTTCTCAGTGGAATACCCAGCTCCTACAGTAATATATATCTTAATGGCAGCAGCAAATGTAGCAAATTGCACTCTAATGAGAAACATGATGGATTGCCTCTTTTAAGGGAACATTATCTGGAATGTAGTATTTGTGTGTGTGATAAATAATAATGTTTTTCATGTTGAAATCTACTGTTTCGAGCAACTGTGTATCTTGACAAACACCAGGAGCGCTATGTGTTTGACACCAAGTGTATAATTATAACAATATTAATATAGCTCTAGCATCACAGCAATATGTGGTAATAATTAATTATCAGCATCCAAAGTGGAACTCTAAGGGAAACTGTTACTATTATCAAGCAAACAACCATTTCTTTGTCAAGCAGGCTGGCATTGTGCTGTATGTCTGGTGGGGATACAGAGCGAAGCAGCACTTTTCAGTGAAGTGTATTCTTCATTTAAGACAACGTAAATTGTTAAACCAATAAGTTCTTCTCGCAAAACAAAATACATCATTTATCATTTGGCAAATGTCATGGCCTAGTTTAGCTCCAGTATTTAATACAGCCTGAAAGAATTGTAAACTGTCATTGTACCGGAGACTGATAACAGCCCGGAGAAGAGCACTGAGGAGGAGAATATAGAAAATCAAAGTGTCTCAGACACGAGCCCATAGGCAGCCAGTCTGCAGACTGCAGAATTACTTCCCTAGGAATTACGTGTGTACGCTAGGGCTGGCGTGTGCATTTCAGAGCAATGCTGAATGGCAGGCTGGGAGTCCTTTCTCGTGTTATGAACCTCTCGGAGAGCAACTTTGAATTGAGGAGTAATGTCGCTGCTGTAGCTGCTCTCTGGTCCCCGAGTAACTGGTTAACTAAGCATTACCCTGATGCCCTTGCCACTGTTGAGCATTTCCACTGGCAGCTACCCCATTTCCATATTACCAACCTTCATTAACCTAAGTCGTTATACCCAGGGGCTTGGGTTAATGATGTTCTACCATACCTTGGCAGCAAGTCAAAAGGGGCCAGGAACAAAGTTCTCAGAAGGTCCGTTTGGGAGATGAAGAAGTATAAATTGTCCGAGCAACCTGCCTGCTGCATCCCTGCAAGCTCAGTGAAACCGTGGCAGATGGAGTTGAGCCTCTCAGTTCAGAACGAAGCAAACTTTGGAAGAAGATAAATTGTTGAATCGTGTAATTTATTGGAAAGTTGGTTTCCAAAAGACCATCAGAATGAACCAGCTAGACCCAAGCAGACCTCAAACAAGGAATGAAAACATTGTAAAAATAATTGCGGCCCCTTGGGTCAATAGTCAGTTTTTGAGGTGAGGCATCGACTAAGCATTTAATAAGCGTGGACCACACCGTGTTCCAGCTTTCTGCCATGTGATAGCCTTGAACTTTATAACGATGTAAATTCAGGTGAAATAAAACAGCAGTATAGAAAAACACGCTTCCACTGCCACACAGGGAGATGGGGTGGTCCAGTGTCTCATCCAAAGCATTAGAAACCTGCTTCCCTGCTGCCGGTCACTGATGATTACGTTGAGCAGATCACTTTGCTTCAGTGGCCCCCTTCTGTGAGTGCAGAGTAAGGTGTTGATCCTGTACGTGGCAGAGTTCTTGGCAGCACTGTGCTGGGGAAGCAGTGCTGCTACGAGGCAGCACCGTCTCCCCGGCGGCGACTGCCGCGTCCCTGGGTACAACGGGGTGTTCCGGGTGAACTGGAGGGAGCGGCGGAAACGTGGCCGGGCTGTGGGGGTTTGTGCCCTGAACAGGGGCGGCCAGATAAGCAGCGAAGAAGAAGCTGGCAAAGGTGGGAGGTGACTTCATGCTCGACCCTGAGACGCTGATGGATTACCCGGTTCATTTCCCTCTTGTGCCATGAAGGTTATACAGGAGGCTCTGTGCAGAACGACGCACCGTCGTTTGCAGGGACTCTCCTGTCTTGCCCTTCCTCACTGCCAGAACACGACAGCAGCATGTCTGTAGCAGGGACAGTTGGTAAAAATTCAGATGTCTCAGAATAGCTACTTGCTGCCCGCTGAGGTGCAGGTGTTCCAGGATGGGGTTTCGTACAGCCCAGAGCCGCGGGCAGCGTTCGTTGTGCAAGAAAACACAAGGGCAGAGGCTGGTGCTGCGGGTTGGGCGCTGGCTGCAGAAAGCAGAGGATTTTGGGGGGGTTGGCAATATACAGGGTCTCTGATTTTTCAGATGCACAACAACTAAAAACCTCTCCTTTGTTTTTCATTTGTTGTCTGATGAAAGAAGGGCTGGGTCAGGTGCGTGCAAGTATTAATGTTTATTTCACAGCTGGTTGAAAACTTGAGATTCATACTCTCTTTCTCTGAGGAAATGCCCAAAATAAATAAAATTTACTTCAAAGCTAGCATTAAAGTAAGCATCCACATGAAATAAGCATCCATGTAAATACTTCCAAAATACACTAGATGGAGGCATTTTCTTATTCAAATATAGTTTACAATTATTTCAAAAAATTTTAAGCATACGCTTAAGTTCTTGTTCAGTAATGCAATATTAGATATTAGACTTTAGGCACTTGCTTAAATGTTGGCTGAATAAAGATGAATTAAGAGTGAATATACAGCAGTTACTAGTGCTGTTATTTTCCTGCCACTGCTGGTTAGACTGTTTGCGCTGTTTCAGATTTCATGCATTTATTTTCTTCCTCTTTGTCAATGTGATAGAACCATATATTGTCATTCTGTTGCTGTATCATATATTTGATTGTGAAGTAAAACTATGCCTTATAAAAGTAAAACACCAAGCAAAACATATGTATGTACAGTAAATATTTTTGCTATATTGGATAATCTACTTTCTTTGCTTTTGATCATATTTTATTCAAGCCCAGAGAAGAGTTCAAAAATGTTGCTGAAATTCTATTTTCCTATGTGATTTAATATTTGAACAGGGAAAGTACTTTTCGGAGGGTCTTTAGTTGATATTTAGTTGGGGCATATTTTTAGCTAGGACTAAAGTAACCCATTCGAGCAAGGTTCTGGGTGGATACTACAGAGTACAATTTAGAGCAGCTTCTTGGGCCATTTAATTGTTTTACAGAACATTTGTACAGTTGAAGGATGAAGGTCAGACATCATGTAATGTCCGAGTAGACTCAAGTAATTACTGATTTAAAGATATTGCTTTTCTAAATTACTGATTTAATCAATAAATTGATTTTTAAGTTGGTAACAAGTGTGCGTAAGAGTACTATTTTTACTCCATGACTCCAGCAGGAACATCATTCTCTTACAGAATCTTTTTTGGTTTTAAAAACTAATATTTTTTTTCTAAATGAGTCCTTCGTAGCTCACAAATGTGAAAAGCAGAAGCATGACAATTTGGAGAAGAATATTTTATTTTTGTATTCTTGTGTATTTTTTTCCCCACAGTTGAGGTTATATGTAATTGGATGCATTGCTTTCCTGTTTCCACAGGTACCCCTGAGAGTGACACTGTCTGCAAGAGATGCCCAGAAGGATTTTTCTCAAATGAAACCTCATCCACAGCAGCCTGTCTAAAGCACACAAACTGTAGTGCACTGGGTTTCAAAACAGCATTGAAGGGAAATGCAGTTCGTGACAACGTCTGTCAGGAAAATACAGATGTGACACCTCAGAAATGTGGAATAGGTATGTATCCTATTAAGGAGGAGTGCTCTGAAAATGTACCTTTAATTATAGTTAAAATGAATGTATCGGCATTTATGATAAAAATATGTAGCTTGTTAGCCTTTTGCCTGCTATGGTGATGGCCACAGTAGAGTTTTAATTATTCTCGGTCAGACCAAATGGAACTCAAGCACAGAGAGCAGCAGCACTATAAAGACCAGTTCTTAGTTTGTTTTTTAAAAAACCCATTTTTTCTTACCATCTTTGCTGCTTGCTCGTTTTTTCTGAGACAAGATCAGGACAGGTGACATACTCTTTTCTCTTTCTCATTTCAGATGTCACCCTGTGCGAGGAGGCTTTCTTCAGGTTTGCTGTTCCTACTCACCTCACACCTAACTGGCTGAACATACTGGCAGACAGTTTGCCTGGGACAAAGGTTAGCACAGAAAATATCGAAAGGATTAAACAAAGGCACAGTTCTCAAGAGCAGACGTTCCAGCTCTTGAAATTATGGAAGCAGCAAAACAAAGAACAGGATATGGTCAAGAAGATTATTCAAGGTACCTTATTTTCATAGCATGTATATTAAAAGTAACCTTCTAAATGGCATTTTAAAACTTCCTTGGGACCAAATACCTCCCGGTGACGTGTTATGCTCTGAGGAGGACCTGCAGGGCTTGACTGAGATTGATCGATGCAGTAAGCACATTGAAGTCGAGAGGTAGTGGGAAGAGGGAAGAGAATTTGGCTTCTCCTGATCAGTTGAGGACTGAATTCGTCACAGACTTGTAGCCCCCTTGGGAGCGTGTGTGGTGTCACAGCCAAGACTCCCTTTTCAGACTGCACAACATATGATGAATTTTGATCAGTTGGGGAAAATGTTTCCCACTGTTGGATCTGAGCCGTGGGTGTTGAGGTTAGAGGGAGCTGGATGCCTGCAACTGAGAGTGCAATTTGGTTTCCATAAAGAGGAGACTGACAGCTCGGACTAGGACACCCGTTCGCAGAACGGGGACGCATGCGAGTGAGGAATACACAGGCAGGCTTTCCCCTTTCCCTTCTTTTTCCTTCCCTGTACCTGTTTGTCACACCAATTCACTGCTGTGTTCGTGCTGAATTTGCCAAGGTGTCAAAGGTGAAGTAGTGCTGCGATGTTAACACCAAGGTTTTTAGGAGAGTCAGGCCACCTCTCTTCATGTAAGCCACCATCAACAACCGCCACATTCAAACGACCTTTTGTCCACTCAGAATAGATTTGAAAAATGCTGCAGAAATGTTTTTTTTTTGCCTCTCCTTTTTAGTACGTATGCTTATGTCAGACTGTGAAGCATCTAGAATACTTTAAAACCAAAAAAGACTATTCTAGCAGATCTTGCCTAGACATTTCTGAAGAAGAGGAGCCAAATTTTCACTGGCTGGAACCAAATATTAGGAGTGCTGTCACGTACAGAAGACATTTTACAAGATAGATGAAACAAGCGTATAGCAATAAATACTTGCTATGAAATTTGTTTGTAATTTGGGGCAGTTTGTACTTGCAAAGTGAATTAAATTCTTCAGTGCTTTTCCTAACTGGAGCCTAAAAAAAAGCATTGCTGAGAGAATTACTTGAAATAAAGTTTAAAAAAAAAAAAAAGGAAGGAATATTCACCTTGAAATTTTGGAATTTTTTTTTCGCGGGCCATGGTGCAGTTGTGATGCATTGTACTTACCTCCCTTTTCTGTTCGCTTTCTATAGATATTGATCTTTGTGAAAATAGTGTCTTAAAGCATACTGGCCACCTGAACCTCACCTTTGAACATCTCAACACACTGATGGCAAGCTTACCAGGCAAGAAAGTGGGAAAAGAAGATATCGAGCGCACTATGAAACTATGTCAACCTACAGAGCAAGTTCTGAAGCTTCTCAATCTGTGGAGAATAAAGAACAGCGACCAAGACACCATTAAAGGTTTAATGTATGGACTGAAGCACTTGAAAACATACCACTTCCCAAAACGATCCATCCAAAGTCTGAAGAAGGTGATTAAGTTTCTTCACAGATTTACAATGTATAGATTATATCAGAAACTCCTTTTAGAAATGATAGGGAACCAAGTTAAATCAGTGAAAGTAAGATGTGTCTAGTTCAAGATATTTTTCATTCTCCACTGACTATTTGTCCCTAATTACTGCCAGCAGTAATTAAACTGGAACGTTTTTTCTTCATGATGTCTTACTATTTATAGAAATGCCTGACTGGAATAGCTCTAAGTCTTTCGCAGTGTTTTTGGAGTTTTTTGTTGGGTTTTTGTTTTGTTTTGTTTTTGTTTTTGTTTTTTTTTTAATAAAGTCACTTTTGTAAAAGCTATTAACCTGTTGATAACACTAAGAGCCTGATTCTACATTTTTGCACATTCAGAGTTGAAAAGCCCCACTATAGTCACTAGATGAGAAGAGAATGCTGGACCAGGCTCTACTACAGTATTCACTATTTATATTCTTCGAGGAATAAACATTTTTGTTGTACATATTTATTAAGTTAAATGGAAATTGTATGAGACTGAATTTGAGGAAGAGAAATGAAAAGCACACTGTATATTTTCTAGTTAGACAAAAATGATCCCATATATTTTTCTGGCAAAATTTTGTAGCATGCTCTAAGAGTTATTAATTTCTTTACATTTTGTATTTAAAAAAAAAAGTATTATTGCTTAGTTTTATTTGTATAAGTTGTGGTGTCTTTTGGTAGAGATGTTTTAATTTATCCAATGATTTTAACTCAAATACGGTGAAAATATAGCATAAGTGACCTGAATATTTAACTATTCTGTGAGGAAGTGAATGTACCATATTTAAGAAGCTGGATTTTTATATAGAATTTCATAATCTTATTTTATAAAACAATTAAATTTTTCAGTTTACTTTTCGACTGGTGTTTTGCTCTTGACTCTGAAGTAGGAACGAATAACAAAGACAGACCATGTGCATTTCACGCCTTATCTTGGGCTTGGCTCTCTGCTACTCCCTGTCTAGTCTAGTAGTTAATATGTGAGCCAAGTAAATATTGACCAGCACTGGATTTTCATGGTCACTGTACAGGTGTAAAAGAAGGTGAAGTATTAAAGGTTCCAGCTCAGAGGGCCCAGGCGGTTGCGGTACAACTGATTACAACTCCGTAGACGCATTTGGCCCAGCATCACTCTTGGCCCAGTGTCATTCTTGGAGAGCTCACAGCCTTTGCCCTAACCACAGCGTGTAATTTCATGGAGGAAGGATGATGCATGGCCCTGATGGGCTTGGAAAGCCTCACATATGGCCAGTACGTTTTAAGGAAGGGGGCATGGAGAGGTCACATAAAAAAAAAAAATCATTTGCCATTGCCCTCAGCTACAGAATGAGGCACCTGTAAAGAGATGGGCCCCAAAAAAGGGAACAGGGAGTGCATGAGTGGTGTTATCAAAAGCTCACATAATTGTAAGGACCAGTGATAATTCACAGTGCAAGCCAAGGGCTTTGGTGGCTGCAGAGGGAGACTGTTTTTTTGTTTAAACCACGTGAACAGAGCTTGAGTGCTCAACATATCCTTTTCCCTTGTCTAAAGGAAGGAAAAGCCATCAGCATTTACCCTTGTATGACAAATATTCCTCTATTACAGATGAGAGGATCTTAGGCAACGAATGAGAAAAGAGATTCCTAGCAGATATGACAGGTGCTCATCAGAAGTGCTCTCCTTACAGAGAGTGCAAATGGGACATATTGCTTTAAAATACTTGGGTTTCATTTTTCACTGAATTCTCACATCATCACTTGTTGTATTGAAAGGAGTAAACTCCCTTTTGTGTTTCACACGCTATAGATTAGCATCTCATTTATCAGTGTAGCTGAGAAAGGGTGCTGAACACACACAAGAAATTCCTAGTTTTGTGTTGAATCATTTGAAATAATTTAGGTACTTGTACAACAGAAACTGTTTTTACATGTGATTAAAAGATTATAACAACAAAGTCTCAAATTTGCAAAATAGAGACCAGATGTTTCCATGACTCTGCCAGGTGTGGAGGTTTGGGGTACTGTGGTATTAAAATGAGAATAATCATCTTACTGGCAGTGAAATGAAGAGGATCCCACACACCTCCTATAAACATTTCCATCTTAATCCTTTCTGTGTTATCTCTGTTTAATACACTGATTTATCAATTGGTAGTATAGTTATAGTATCAAGTAGTAATGTAGTTAAAAAACGTGTCAGTGGAATCACTTTAACAGATCTATTGGCTAGAGGGGAGCGCAGTTGCTTCTCAGTACATGGTACTGTTTTTAATTTATACATTTATATGTCCGTATTCCAGTGAATTATATGTAATTCTCATTGTAAATAACACTAAAAGTTTGTGGTCCTTAGTGAATGACAGTACTGAAGAAGGTGCTTACATCCACAGAGTATAGTTTATGCTATAGCTACCATATGAACATGCTATACTTCACTACAGCAGAGCATAGCCTTGACTGGATTTCCTGGGAGACTGGAGCATTAAACTATTACCTGTGCCTTTTAAAATAGGATTTTTTTTTTTCCCTAAACATGAAGTTACACCTGTTTAATGAATTATACCTGTTAAAGCTGATTCAGCTAACCAGGTGCCCACGCTCAGGTAGACTCTCAGCCAGTTTATGCTTCATTTATCAATTCGGCTTCGCTCAGCTGGAAGCAATTGAACATTTCACATCCTGAGCAGGCGACACTTAAACCATATTCCCTTCCCCAAAGAGCCTCCAGCCCAAAATAGCCAAGAAAAACAAAAGCAAAATCCAGGATAATGAGGGAGAGGGTGAGGCAAACAGAAAGTGGGAGGGTTGCTTGGAAAAAATGTGGGTTTGGGGGTGGTAGTTTGTTTTCCAGGGAAGGTTGCAGGAGGAAAGAGGAGGTGTGCGGTGGGCAGCAGGTGGGAGAGGGGTCCCGTGTCTACTGCCGCTGTGGGGAGGCAGAGGTGGGGGAAGGAGGGAGGCGCAAGGTCGGGGACAACCAGCCAGAGCTGGGCCTTGGGGGTGACGCGAAGAGAGATGCTGTGCTCAGGGCACCCTGGCCTGCCGGGAACCAGTGCCTGCCCTCCTCCCAGCTGGGCTGTGGCCCAGACGCAGGGCAAGGCAGGGGTTTCGCCAGTCCCCTGCTAGCGGTGAGGCCGCTCCTGCCGTGGCATGGAAAGGAGGAGAGGAACTGGGAGGAGAGAGGGGTGTGCTCCCTCCACTGCCCCTGTTGCCCCCGGGCAGGGGCAGGGTTTGGCCTGCCCAGTTGGCTTCTCCTTCCTTCGCTGAGAAAAAGGAAAAGCAGTTTCAGGAATATCTGAGGGAGCCGGAGAGATGGGCTCTAAGGCAGGTTCTTCAGCTGCCCTCTGTCCAGCCGTGCTCTCAAAGAGTGGAAACAACCCTCAGTTATCAAAAAGTACCATGGGTTTAAACCAGAACCTTATGATTTCAAAATGTTCTACAACCCAGTTTTTTTAGATCTTTTTTATACGCACTTGCCCTCCAGCGAGGCAGTCTCTTGAGTCCCAGAAAATACACCATGTTTTGGAGTAGGAGGGAAACGAAAGAAGAAACTAGATATTAAGCTCTTTAATCATCTTTTTTACTCTGTGCACATCACCAAGGACAAGAGATTCCTGGTCCCCGACTGTGACTCATGGATGCTTTTATAGTAAAATTACCAATCAATAGCATAGTCTGCTATAGATTGAACATTTTAAAAATAAAGCCAGGTATTAGATAGCTTTTACAAGTTTAGAGAGATGGATAACAAAGGTTCAAAGAATGGTTTAGGAATGCGCATGTCTGTAATCGAACTCTGCGTGTACACACACACTTGCACTCACACATACACCATACACCATTAAAACAACTGGTACTGGGGGCTTTGACAGGCTGTGATGATGAATTCAATTCAACCAAACCCTTCATCGCCCTCAGACACCCATCCTGCCTGTCCTGGTATGGGTGAACATTGCCACCTCCATGGCAGAGGTATCTGGTTTGCTTGTGAATCACATTCAAAGTGCCCAAATTTTCAGCCCTAAAGTAATGCAAAACTGTGGCTCAGAAATGAGCAAATCTTTATAGAAAAAAGAACCAGCAATTTCTGCAGACTATCAGAAACTATTCAGTTTTGGACAGATGTCAAATAGAGGAAACACCCATCATCCAAAATATTTCTTTTTTGGAATAACGTGGAGAAGCAAAAAAAATTGGACAAAAATAACTGAAAAAAAAATACTTTTACATTTTTCTTCCTTCACCTTAATTAGATGGTAGAACCAATATTGGCAATAAGCTCAGTAGTGAGAAGGGATAAAAATATCTACAAAGCTAAGGCTGTAGTTGTTGTGTAAGTGACTGTTCCCAGTGGAGTCGAAGGACAAATCTATGGGATAGATCTATAAGAATGGACTCAGGATTGCAATGAATTGAGTAATTCTATTTTTATATTAGAGTTTTGAACTGAACAAAACTTGAGGCAAAGTAAAGCAGGTGAACGCAATGTGAATTTAGTTTATTCCACTCATCATCATCCTCATCCCTTGTATTTATGGCAAGTTTGCGTAGGATTCCTCTGTTTGTCTTTTCACATTTAAAAAAAGTTCTTTCATACTACCAGGTTATTTTTTTAAAATCATCCTGACCTTTAGTACCTAGGAGGTTATTTAAAAGGAACCACATGATGAAAGATTGTGGCTTTGGCAATATTTCTTATATGAAGAGGACAGGGTGTGGTTCAATAACGGTGAAGACAGAACTTTCTGGAGAATATTTTTCTCCTTTTTTTTAATCTAAGAGGGAAAGTCTTCATCCACTTTTAAATAAATAAATAAACTTTCTGGCAACTAGGACATACATCACTCTGGATGTGCAGAACTTCATTGGCCCACAAAACGAGATTTCTGTCTATTGATAGTATCGATGGCTTGGTGTTTATGTTGTGCTTCAGTTCTGCCTATGGCACTTAAGACGAGTGAAATGATACATCCTAAAGGATGATTAGTCCCACGTAATGCAATGGAAACTCAGTGTTGGTAAGAGATGGATCAGGCCTTTACGTTCTTTGAAGGGCAGAGACACAAACAGCAGAGATCAAGGTGCCTAAATACCGTCAGGCTTGCAGAAGCCTCTCTCTCCTGGGCGAAGTTAGGGAAGGCTAACATAGACCCACGCTTTCGGGAAGGGTGTCCACACTCCGGAGATGTGTCAATGATTGAAGAAGGGTGTGTTTTTTGGATTGCAACAAAACAAGCTGAGAGTGCCTGGCAGGCTGGTGAAGCCGGCGGGAAACTGGGCTATTCCCGTCTCCGGGAGGTAGAGAAGAACAGCTTGGTTTTACACCGCGTGGGTTGGGAGCCAGCACAGGGATACAAGGAATGGGTAGTTACTGCTGTTGAGATGTGCGTTTGAAAGTCTAAGAAGACTAACATGCTGAAACCTCAAGAAGCCAGAAGAACGATGCAGGAAAATTACACTTTGTGCCTCAAAATCAGGCTTTCTCTCTTGAAACAATCACAAAACCCAAGTACTCAGAAAAGAAGCGATTTCTTTGGCGGCTAATGACAAAGACCCCATAGCTGTATTTGGGTGGTTTCGTGTTGACAGAGGATGCTCACAGGCAAGTGATGGCAGCACCGAAGCAGTTCAATGTCCAGCTGCCGAACTGGTGACCCAGTGATCCTCCTGGGCTGTCTTTGTACCCTGCAAGGACTTGGACACTTTAAACTCAGCACAAGGATGCTCAGCCCCACTAAGGAAATTGCTGCAAACATCTGCATGCTGAAACTGGGTCCCTCCCCACCCTATCACTGCCTTAGACGTCTCTGTGAAACATGGTCTCTCAGCCTGGCTCTCCCTGGTGGTGCAATCTCCCCAAGCGACCCCTCCGGGCGCA